GTCACCGTGGCAACGCGCGGGCGCCATGGCGGAGCCGCAGGCCGAGGCGGTGAGAGGCCGGAGCGGGAGCGGGGCCCTCGGCGGGAAGGAGGGAAGGAGGGAAGGAGGGAGCCCCCGAGGGAGCCCCCGAGGGAGCCCCCGAGGGAGCCCCGGGGTCGCAGCCCCGAAGCGCTGCGGGCGGGAAGGGGCCGCGCGGCCCGGGAACCGGCGCTGAAGTCCCTGGAGAGACCTGTCCTGGGACCGACAAGGGGAGCTGAAGAGCGCACGGGGAAATATATTTCCTCTCTGTTCCCGCTCATATACTTGGGGCGCTTACTCTGAGATATATTTTAACCTAGTGTGTCTTAGACTGAATATAGATATATATATAAATAAGCTATATATATATATATATATGGTTAATGTTAAGTGTTCTAGGGAGCTCTCTCACTGAATCCGTAAGTACAATACCACTCGCTTTTCCCATGTTTTGTGAAACAGCCTCGTTTCCCCTTACCCAGTTCTTTGTTGCCAAAAGCTCTTGAAGAAGCCAAGTGGTGTTGGAGCGAGAGCCGTGTGCTGGTGGATAAATGTCCTGCTGGGAGGGGAAACGCTCGTCCTTGAGGGGAGGGAGTCGCCTGGGGGTCCCACAGGGCTCCGGAGAGGGGCTGTGTGCAGCTCACRTGGACACAATGACCAGCACGGGGTTATTTGGGGTGAAAAGGTGAGCGATAGCCACAAGGAACGGCAGAAAGCGACGAGCTCGGGGGGCGGCTGCTGCTCGGCTGCCAGTTCTTCCCCCTGCCCTGGTTACCTGCCTGTCTGTGGGAGCRGTTTGGGGCAGGGTTTGCAGGCTGAGGTTGGTTACTGCCCTGGAGCAGGACTTTGCAGCGCTCACTGGCACAYGGGCGCTGGTGGCTCTCTGAAATTCCTGCCTTTTGCCCATATTTGGAGGCAAAAATCTGCCCTAAAGGCACCTTCGTTTTGCTCTCTATATTCTAAAATATAGGAAATGTATTTTAATCTAAAAAATCCRTCAAAAGACTTCAGCTTCGCTAAGGCAGAGTAATTCAGATTATTGCCAGGAAATGATCAAATGCATTGGGAATGCACCCTAGGGAAAGGGCACTTGCCCCTGTCTTGAATGGGCGACTTGCTGGGGTGTTTATTTCTTTACCACAAAAAAGCAGAATGCCGGGTTTTGAATTAGGTCTTCTTACCCCCAAATCTCTTGAAATAAACTTCTTTCGGTTATAGTCTGATCCTACAAAGCCTTGTCCGTAGAAATGTGGAAAGCAGTTGATATGGTTTTTGAATAGCATTTCAAATGCCTGAGATATTGTTTCTTAAAATGTAACAGTCACCTTCTAATGAATGTAATTGAGACCACAGAACAGTAGAGAACTCTAAAATGAGCGGGTTTATCTAATTTACACGGTGAACAGAAATCTCCCTGTCGCTCTGGCTAGGAAGGTCTTAGGCTTGCTAAGGCGGAGTTYGTCTAGCAGATACATTGCAATTTTTATGCCCTCTTTTGGGATTTGCCATTTGTCCTTCCTGATTGTTTTGTGGAATATTTCTTTGAGGAATTCCACCTGCCGGATTTAACACTTTCTTCTATTCTTTCAGGTTTCTTCGTCACCAGCGGCTGTGGAACCTCCAAAACCTCGCCAAAAAAAAGGTTTGTTTTTAAGAAATGGTTATGACCAAGTTTCTTGGGCAGGTTGATTTTAAGCTTGTTTTACAGCATATGCAGCCATCTGGTAAGAAATAAATGATCACAGGGACGTGATGAGAATGTCTTAGAGTAGCAGGACATGTTTTTTTCTAGGGTCTGTGTCATCATTAGGTCAGTGAAGCTGTAATCTCTTGCTGGCAAAGTTAGTCTACACCTCTGGCTTGCATCATGTTTACTTATATTGTGCGCATAGCTTTGGAACTGCTAGTGAATTTGATTTTCGCATTCTTGGTTAGTAAGCAGCRTTTGCTCATTTTGACTTCTGTAGATACTTGGGTTCCTCAGGGTAGTGCCTTGCTCTAGAGATGGTCTTGGGAAGCTGTGGAGTCATCGCCTCTTGTTGATTTTCATGTCACATTTTCTAAGTTTGGGTATAAAAGGGGATGTGCCAGGGAGACCCAACGTGTCTTCAGGTTTTAGCTGCTTTTAACTGCAGTTTGCTTGTTTTTCACTYGGAGAGAGAGGATTGGAGCAATTGCTTTGGATACGAGGAGCAGGGAGCTGGGCAGCTGCATCTGCCCTGTTCGCAGTGGCTGTGCGGGCTGGGAGCTGTGTCTGCTCTCTGCTTTTACAGGATGCTTGCAGTGCTCTAAAGGAAACACCTGGGAAGGGCCCGGGCTGGCCGTGTTTGCCAGGAGCCAGCCTGTCACTCGGGTGCTCCTTCCTGGAGGGCTGGGGTCTATTCAATCACCTCTGCGTAATCCATGAGCGAGTGCAGGAGCTGATGAAGAAGGATGGGGCCGTCRCAAACGCAAATGACGCCCGCCGTCATTTTCCTTGTTAAGCTGCCGCTCAAGCCCCTGGCTGCTTTTAAGCTGCACAATTTAATATTGATTGTTTGGGAAGAGGAACGGCGGCCGCGACGGCTGCCTCAGCGGCGCCGCTCGTGCGGATAYGGACCCGGGTTGTGGCTGCACAGGAAGGGGGTTCTCCCGTACATTGCATTTTGCATCAGCAGCCCTGAAGCCAAGCGGGGCAGCCCTKTAAAAGAAGTGCAGCCTGCAGCATTTGCGCTTTGCCTGCATTTCTTGGGGCAAATGGAGGTATCTCCAGCAGCTGACACGTTGCTCTTCAGGGAGACGYTCCCCAGGGCTCTGCTGCTTCTGCTCTGGGCAGATTTGCAGCAAGCAAAGCGGCTTTGGGCTGCCGCCTTGCTAAGCTCCAGCAAATGAGGGCAGGAGCAAGGTTTGTAGTAGGAGGTGATGTAACTGGGGCCTCTGTGCAGGGGAATATGATGTTTGGGATGTCAAAGAGAGGAGGGAAAGGAGAAGTCCTGTTGCATATACTTTTGTGGGCTTCAGGGGAAAAGAATAGCTTTTTTTCCACCAAAAGAGGCTTTTTTTTTTTCCCCTAGGATGTAATTGGATTTTCTCAAGGAAGGTTCTAATCTTTTGCTTTCCCAAATATAAGGAGCTAGAGAAATCCACAGCACTTCTGTTTGTGTAGAAGAGAGCCACTAAACTCATTGAAAATAAACATTTCTTTTTTAAAACACTGAAAGCTGTATTCCTCTTTCAGCAGTTTTTATTTTCAAGATGAATGCAAGAGATACTGAAACCAACATTAGTGCAAGCAGTTCTATAAAATGAGAGGACTRTATAATAAAATACACTGGTCCTCTGTCCTGTAAACAGTTTGGGGGGGATGACATTTGAATTTGAGTGAGGTGTGTATTATGATAACTAAACAATGCTGTTGTACATGAAAATATTGATATACACAGTCATTGTATATATGGGGTACAGCCAAGTTGTCACTGAAATCATAGTGTTTGTCTCAGTGCCTGCGTTCAGCTCGGCTTTACTTGTGCTGGGTGGAAGTAAGGCATCAAATTTTACATTTCTGAAAARGTTCTTGTGAATTTGCTAACAGCCATTTGCACAGCGAAGCGCRGCAGTGACCTGCCCCTCGTGTGCCCTTGCTGGCCTCGCCTCGCTGCGTGTTCCCTGCCCTCCCGTAGAATCAGGAGCGCGGGGCCGGCRCATCCCGAGCTGGCTCAGGACGCTGCAAGTGGAATAACTCTCAGTTAAGTGACAGGCCTGTGAGATGGGCCTGAATCTCCCTGCTGTGTTCGAATTTAATCCAATAGTTTCCAAAATGCTTTGGAATTGGAATTGGCTCCCTCCCATCTCTTGATTTCCCAGTCAAATCAGTTTACAGTAACTGATGGTGCTGTCGTGGAGGAGGCTCCTTTACCAGCTATAGCGTTGGATTTTGTGGCACATGATTTGAATTTATTTCCTTTTATTGYGAAAAATGGCACCTGGGAAAGGAAGTTCTGGGCTCTCTCGTTATTCTCATAACAGACCAGAGGTTCACGGAGCAATTTGAAATGCACTTAGATTTTACAGATAGTCGGTCCCAGCTTTTGTTGAGCTACAGTGATGGCTTTTTAATGCTAGGATAAAATCCCCAAAGATTTCTACCACAATAAATACGAGATAGTAAAGTAGAGCACAATCAGGTTAGTAGGAAGATTTAGACTAGAAATCCTATAGATGTGGAGGA